TCCAGCTGATCCTGCATGTCCTTCCATCTCTGCTCCTTCTGCCGTCTCTCCTCCTCCTCCCGTCTCACCTTCTCCTCCTCCCGCCTCACCCTCTCCTCCTCGGCCTGCTGTGCCGCCCTCTCCTGCCGCTCTCTGGCCTCCTGCTGCCTCCTTTGCTCCTCCTCGGCCCTCAGCCTGCAGAAAACCACAAAGTCTGAACTTCACAGGGCGCCACAGACGAGACAAAGATAATCATCTCTGACAATTTCTATTTTTAATGCATTGTTAATATTGTTGATTCAGTATACACAGCAAACAGTCAAAGTAATCAAATCAATGACTTTTTCTACTCAGTCTTAGCTCTGAATAACGCCAGCTACAAAAGTGCAGTATAAGTACAAAACTAGTCCCTATAAACAGGACAAAAAACACCATAAATCTCCTGTTTATAAATTGAGGCTTTTGGATATTCTCCATTTTGTTCCATCTACAACAATCCCTGTAAACTTTGCATTTAACAAACTATTTTGTGTTTTGGGGGATTTAAAAAAATAATTTTCCTCATCAGAACTGGAGCAAAATGCTGTATTTTAGACAGTATTGACTGCTACGATGGAACTATGAGTGAAACTCGATCTAATGTCCATTAAATGTTCAGCGATTGTAAGAAAAAACAAGAATCATAAGTCTAACGTTTCACATGTTCAGATAGAAACAGAACAAACCAGAAACATCTGGGTCCAGTGAACAGCTGTGTACGAGGAGCACTCACCTCTCCTCCTCCTGCCGCTGTCTCTCCTCCTGCTCCTTCTGTATTCGGGCCAGACGGCGTCTCTCTGCCAGCAGTCTGGATGCCTCCTCGGCGTCTGTGGTCCCACCCACGCTCCTTCCTGTGGGCGTGCCCGGAGACTCTGTTGGGGAGGATGGAGAGACACAAAAAACATAAAAAAACAGTTTAAAAGATTTCAAAAAGCCTTTAAACAACATTACAGCTTCATAATGCTCAGCTAAGGGGACCATCTCACCAGAGCTCTGCAGGTAAGACCTGCTGATACATGTACAGATACAGAAAGGAAAGCCAGGAGCATCTTCGGTTGTGTTTTCACTCGATGTGCACTCTGCAGATTCTGTGGCGAGGTTCTGTTTGACATGTTGAATTAAACCTTCTTGTTTTGCTTTTTTCTTCGACATTTAGAGTTTATCATTCGCCTGAATTATGCTGAACATGACCAAAGGAGATTTCTCCTTCACCAGGTGGTATTTTGACCACTATCACCGTCCCCTGAATTCAATCGACATCAATAAAAAACTGATAGCTTAGTTAAGGCG